GGGGGGTGGGTGGGTGGGTGAATGCTGTACAACTCTTTTTGCAGGGCAACAAAATTTAATTGGCATGCTTGATTTAGAGAAGGAGTGCATAACAACCTCTCTTTCTCGCTCTGTGTTCTTTGTTCCACACACTCAAAACACATACACCACTCGTCGACATACTCATTTGACGCATCTGAACAACGCAATCACCATGGATGACATGTATCAATATGCCTCGGCTGCTGTCAATAGCAACACGCCAAACAACACCAATCAACAACAAGGCACCGAAGATAACGACATTGTACTTCAAGCATTCAACAACTTTGGATGGGGTCAACGATTCAATAGTCTATTGGACACTGTCAAAAAACAAGTGAGTTGCTTTATTGGGCATCGTGATCAGATAGGCTCATACAAACAAGAGTGAAGCACTTGTAGAAACCACTCGACGCGACTTTGAAGAGATAGCCCAAGTACTTCGCGAAGATGGCAATAATGAGGATACGTCCAATCGTGATATGAGTACTTCCACTTCTTCAACCACCACTGCCGGCACATCTTCAACCACCACTGAAGTCCCCAGCAACAACAATGATACAATGAGTTTTGCCGCTCTTCGTGAACGAATCAGTGCCTTGGACCTGAACAGCTTATTACCTACACAACGATTGCCTGAGAATATGGATTTGACTCAATTGCGATCCGAGGTTATCCAAGGTACTCGGCATGCTGAACAATACCTACAAAAGTTTGGATCAGAGGTGATGGATGTCGTTACCAAAGCCATCACTGTGCTTGAACCAGAGGAGGAGGATACTACTACCAATGAGCGATCTGGTGGTGAAGGCAGCAATCCAAAGATCTAGTAAGTGGCTACTTGATAAAAGCAATGATAATGATTACTAAGACCGTGTCATAGTGCCACACGAAAAGAAGCATTGTTGGCCAAGATGCGTGTTGATCCAGAGACATATATGCAGGAACCTGAGGATACCAAAGTGCACCAAACCTTTATTGCCGGTTTCAATATTGAAGAGTACACGGATGAGATTGCTAGTTTATTGAAGCAGCACACTGATTTGGATACTATGATGCATGAATTAGGTATGTAAGCTTTATTGATATTGACATTGGCTGTTTACTTATGATTTTTCAATGTAGTACCTGTAAAGGTTGATTACACTACATTCTGGAAGCGTTACTTTTATCGTGCATGGTGCATTGAACAAGATGAACAAAAGCGACAAATGATTGTGAAGGGTGTTCACGAACAAGAAGATGATGAGGCTGACTTTAAGTGGGATTCGGATGATGAGGATGACGACCATAGCAAAACACCAACCAAGGATGGCCAACAACAAGAGCATGATGATAAGAACAAGGGCAAGCAATCGAGTGACAGCAAAGGAGGTTCTGATACGGATTTCAGCAACATCTCAGAGCCTGTTTCCACAGAGCCAAGCTTGGTATCTCCTCCGCTCAAATCTCAAACGGATGGTGACGATTGGGTTAAAGCCGATCACAAGAAGAAGGCTGACAATGAGGACGACGATAGCGACAGCGATTGGGAGTAGATAAATGTCAATCCATTATTCCCCATGTACATACATATTCTTTAATTCGTTGTTATAAATTTATGCCATTGTTGAACCATTGCTTCCAGTTCATTGGATGTCTCTTCCGATTGGTCGAGAATTAAAAGTAACCAGCAGCAACATTGTTCATATCGATGAGAAAGGAAGAGAGACGAGGTTCACATTTACGTTACACTCGTAAAAGTTGTGTTGATCATTTCATATAGACTTTACAAGCCATGTTTATTACCAAGCATGAATAGATAACAGCATTTTGTGGTAGAATAGGAGAATACACTAAGTCGGGTCAACTAACAATGGCCTTCCCCGATATTGTTCCAAAAGCACACTAGCATAGTAAAATGTAACAAGTGAACAAAAGATAGTACATTGAATACACAGGATTGTCTATAATGGTTTGGATGATGATGGAAAGGGAGCCACGTGACGCATGAGCGACAAGTAAAAGAGAGAAAGAGAGAGTGAATGAGTGAGTGAGAGGGAAAAAGAGAGAGCGCACAGTCGGACTTTTAGGCATGGATTAGGACATTGGCACCGCCAAAAGGCTATATAAGTCCTGCACTTCTCTCTCTCTTTGCAATGACCTGAAAGCCACATTCACCCACTACCACAGCAAGCAACCACTATTTCATATGGCGACAAGGTAAAGTACTCCTTCTCCTTTATATAATTATCCCCCAATACTATCCTACTATTATTACACGTATAAAATGGTGTCGTTCTATTATTCACTTTTTGTGCCACAAAAGACTCGATCGTCTAGTGCTCTTGCTGGACACCGGATCGACATCGTCCGTTCGACGTACGGCTGCACAGCAGTTGGGTGAAATCCAAAAGCAACATCCCGGTGAACTCTACAATTTGCTGTCAAGGGTTAGATTGGAAACGATCGGCTTGTTGTATCCATACACGCAACTCACATGTTGTTGTTGTTTTAGGTGGTTGTTCATTTACGCAGCAAAGCTTGGGACACGCGTTGGGCAGCTGGACTTGCACTTGAATCTATTGCATCTCATGTACCACCTTGGCAACCTGAAGACGATCCACACACCACCATTCCACCAGACCAAGATGATGCAGTCCACAAGCTTGCATTCGACCAATTCGATCTGGCATCTGTATTGGCTCACGGCAAGCTCTTGCTTGGGTCAGCAGGCAAAGAATACGATATCGACTTTTCAGATATGACACCTCAAGAACGTCTCGAACTACAACGACGCAACCTCAAAGAACGATTAGGATTGACCAGTCAGTTCATGGATGGTAAAGTGTCAACAAAGGGAAAAGGGGGGTTTAAGGAGGGTATTTCATGCTGATCCATACTCGCACATACATACAGTCGATCTTGTAGAAGACGCTGATCTCGTCACGAGCAAGAAACAAGGCACCAAAAAACCGAGTCCATCACCTTCATCATCCACCACATCCACTTCAACATCAGCAGCAACAGCAGCAGCAGCACCTCCTCCTACACCTGCTGTAACAGAGATCAACATGGCCGGTTTATCAGCACGTGAACGCAACATGCTCAAGAGGAAAATGAAGCAAGATGCTAAAATGAACAAGAACAAGGAAAAGTAGGTCATGGGATTTGGATGATGACTCAAGAGAACAACGATATTGATGTTATGTATCTTTCCAATAGAGTACGTGTTGTTGATCTCAAAGGCAAAACAACAGCAACCCCCGTCAAAGTCGAGAAGGAAAAGGATGGTAAATGATGCAATGCCCATTTTATTCTGCTTTGAATGCTAATGATTGGTATGATGATAGAATTTGAGTTGACGGCACAACCCCAATCCAATAAGTTTGTGGTGGAATCCAAAAAACCATTGCCGTCCGAAGATACTCAACAAGATCCAAGGACATCCGTTGAATGGCCTTTCAAGATGGTGTGTGAGCATTTATGTATGGACTTGTTTGATCCATCTTGGGAAATTCGACATGGTGCTGGTATTGGTTTGCGTAGCATTCTCAAAGTCCATGGTCAAGGAGCTGGTAGACGTGGTACGTGTGTGATTGATATATACATACAACAGATCTCTTATCAGGGTATATATCTATATAGTGGGATTATCCAAGGAAGAAAATGACAAGGCACACAATGCTTGGCTTGAAGATGCAGCTATTCGTTTACTTTGCGTGTTTGCACTTGATCGATTTGCCGATTTCGTATCCGACCAAGTTGTATGTCCTGTGCGTGAGACATGTTCACAGACGTTGGGTGTTGTACTACAATACATGGAGCCCAAGGCTGTCAAAAAAGTACACACGACACTGCTTGATCTCATCAACCAAGACAGCCCTGCCTTTGGAGGACGATCAATTTGGGAAGTACGACATGCTGGATTACTTGGATTGAAGTATGCAGTGGCAGTACGCAAGGATCTGGTTGAAATGCTTGTTGAAGGAACGACGGGTGCTGTCATTCTTGGTTTACGTGATCCTGATGATGATGTTCGGGCCGTCAGTGCCGCTACGTTACTTCCCATCACAGCTGAATTTGTTCGTATGAGCAGCGAGGATCGTATTCGTGATGTGATTACAACACTATGGGATTGTTTGATCGATCTCAAAGACGACTTGACAGCTTCCACGGGTGCAGTGATGGATTTAATCGCAAAAATGTTTGAGCAAGCTGGTGTGATGGATATCGTGCGTGCTCGTTGTTCACTTGCAGAGCTGGTGCCACGACTATACCCCTTCTTCCGTCACACTATCACAGGCGTACGCATTGCAGTACTCAACACCATACTCACGTTCCTTGAATGCGGCACAGCATCGGATTGGCTTGATGAACGCGTCTATCGTCTCGTATTCCAGAACCTTGTTGTCGAAGAGAAACCACCCATATTGGAAAAGACATTGGCTGTATGGCGTGATTTGACTATTGGCGGTCGTGTTGACAACCAGCTTGTACTTGCGGGCACACAAAATTGGCTTGGTAGCTGGTTTGAGGTTGCTATGACACCTATTGGACAACCATTGGATGTAGCTACGCACTTTTACAAACCACCTGGTGCTTTTGGTCTTGGTGGTCAAGTGACAATCGACAGCGTTAGCAGCAACAAAAAGAACACTACCACCAAAAAGGGAAAGAATGGCAACAAGTCTACCAGCGATGTGCGAAGTTCCGAAGAAAGCGGTGCTGGTGGTGATACGAGCCACAATTTGGATGCTGGAATGATTGCACAAGACTTTTCATTGATCACCACGGAGCAAGTGATGCGTTGTCGTGTAGCATGTGCTGCAGCATTAGGCATGGCGATGAGCATGTGGCCTGATGAATCCATGGAAATGTCCTATCAAGAAGTTCTCCTCACGTTGATCACTTCTCAATGGGCTATCAAACGCCAACTTGGTGCCATGGCGGTTGAAGAATGGGCAAAGGCCGTCTTAAAGACCCGATACAATGCTTCTTGTGTAAGCGATGCTCCTGGAGACGCCTTGTTAGCCACACAACACAAGTTCCCTCATACTTTGTCACAAGCCATGATTGCCAGCCTTGAAACAGGCATGACTCAACCCGCCAGCTTTTACTTTGAATTGGTGCATGTGCTTAAACGTATCCGTGGAGAGTGTCAAGCCATGTTGAATGGATTTGTTGATGCTGGTATCCAATCTTCCTCGCTACCCGCACTTCCTACCATGGTCATTGGTGAAGTCATGCCTGGTCAAGATATTCAAGCATTCACTATCGAGACAGCAAGCGCACTTGTGAGTGATACATACAATGCACTTGTTGCTCGTATCCCTCGTGGCAAAGGACGTGCTGCTATCTTGGATGGTCTCGAGGAACGACAAAAGCGTGTGGTTGCCTCTATTGGATATTATGAAGAGCTCAAGCAAAAAGTCGAGATCCATGTTTACGCAAGCACAGCAGGTGCCGTGGTCGAACTTGGCGAATTACCTGCCAAATTGAATCCAATTATTCGCAGCGTCATGAATAGTATCAAGGTAGGCACATGAAATAGATTTATATATGTATGCAAGTACCTATGCTAATTATTCTATATAGTTTGAAGAGAATGCTGATCTACAAGGTCGATCAGCAAGTACGCTTGCCGATTTGATAGCCCTTTGCGCCCGCAATACTGGACGTGTCAACCCCACCGATAAGATTGTCAAGAATCTTTGCACGTTTCTTTGTTCCGATACAACCAAAACACCTGTGCTTGAAGAGAATCAGACACAAGCCGGCATTTTATCTGTACAACGAGACGACAACAATAGCAAGACCGGCAACAATGGCGCCAAAGATGCTGCAGCAAACTTGACACCAGCACAAAAGGAGGCTCAATTGATGAAGCGTGGTGCTGAAACTGCATTGCGTGAATTGTGCAACAAGTTTGGTGGTCGGGTGTTTGATATTGTACCCAAACTTTGGGAGTGCCTATCCGCCAAGTTACAAGAGGTCTTTAGCCAAGATCAAGCCAATCGCGGCGTACCCAATGCAGATGCCATTATTCAAGCCAATCTGAATGTGGGCCAAGAAGTGATTGATACATTGACGGTGATGACCACAGTGGTGCCATACCTATCCAAAGACTTGTGGAAGAATGTAAGTTGTGCTTGATGCTCTATATTCGTGAGCATATATAGATTGACAAGTATATCCAATTACAGGTGATACAAATGGTGCCTATGATTTGCAAGGGGCTTCAATCGTGCTACGAGCTTGTACGACATGTCAGTGCAACTTGCCTAGCAACCATCGCCAACACCATCACAACCGAAGCCATGGAGATCATTATTGAAAACGTCCTTCCTTTGCTTGGTGATTCAGTTAATGTGGTCCATCGACAAGGTGCAGCGGAGCTCGTCTACCATATTATTCAGTTGTTGGATACCAAGATCCTCCCATACACCATCTTCCTTATTGTACCAGTACTTGGTCGCATGAGTGATCCCGATGATGCCGTACGCTTGATATGCACCAATTGCTTTGCCTTGTTGATTCGACTTGTGCCATTAGAAGCTGGTATACCGGATCCCCCTGGCATGTCAGCCGAGATGCTCGCCTATCGTGATGAAGAACGCAAATTCCTATCGCAGCTTTTGGATAGCTCCAAAGTTGAGAACTTTGAAATCCCTGTCAAGATCAAGGCCGAGCTTCGTAAATATCAACAAGAAGGTGTCAATTGGTTGGCATTCCTCAACAAGTTCCAATTGCATGGCATTTTGTGTGATGGTAAGTGTTGGAATAGCATTACAATGATACGTAGACTAATTTGAATATAGATATGGGTCTTGGTAAAACGCTGCAATCCATTTGTATTTTGGCAAGTGACCATTTCATGCGTGCACAAAAGTATGCTGCAACACAAGCACCCGATGCCGTACCATGTCCTTCACTTGTTATATGTCCACCCACACTCACAGGCCATTGGTATCACGAAGTACGCAATTACTCGGAGAATCTCAAACCATTGCTATACACTGGTGGCCCGGCTGAACGGAAACGGTAAGCGATCCAATGTGAGTGATGTCAACAAATATTGACAAGGATACGTATCTAGGTTACGGGCTAGCATCAAGAATCATGACATCGTTATCATGTCCTACGACATTATCCGCAACGACATTGACGATTTATCCCGCATCCACTGGAACTATTGTATTCTCGATGAAGGCCACATTATCAAGAATGCGAAGACCAAGATTACAAAAGCCATCAAGACTTTACAATCCAATCATCGTCTCATCCTTTCAGGCACACCAATACAGGTAATGCGTCATATGTCTTTTGGAATTGAAAGGAGCGGGAATCTGATATACCTATGATTAGAACAATGTGCTGGAATTATGGTCATTATTCGACTTTTTGATGCCTGGTTTCCTTGGTTCAGAAAAGGTCTTTAATGAGCGATTTGGCAAACCGATCCTTGCGAGTCGTGATAGCAAGAGCTCTTCAAAGGAACAGGAAGCTGGTATGTGATATGGATAGCAACGCTTGATTTCATTCATGTGACTTAATTTTATGTATGTATGCAGGTGCCCTGGCATTGGAGGCTCTCCACAAACAAGTATTACCATTCTTACTTCGCCGACTCAAAGAGGATGTGCTTCACGATTTACCACCCAAAATTATACAAGACTATTACAGTGAGCTTAGCGATCTACAGGTACAATTTTGGGCTCTATGTGATATGTGTAATACTAATGCGATGCTATGATAGAAAACTTTGTATGAGGAATTTGCAAAGTCTCAGACTAAGCATGCTGTGGAACAAGATCTTGAGGAAGAACAACCAGCGGCGGAGGGTGGTGGTGGCAAGTCAGCAACACACATTTTCCAAGCTTTACAATATCTCCGGAAGCTGTGTAATCATCCACTGCTTGTGCTGAATGAGAAACATCCGAGCTACGCCAAGGTGCAAGGCAACCTTGCGCGCACAGGCACATCTTTGCACGACATCCAGAATGCACCAAAGCTGCAAGCTCTCAAGTAAGTTTATCTCCCCCCCGTTATGGGTGATGGGGTGTGAGTGTGTGACACACGAAATGCGGAATGATATTAATTTAATAATCCCCAACAACAACAACAGGCAGTTGCTTGGCGAATGTGGTATCGGGGCTACGACAACAGAATCAGAAAGCGATCCAGCAGCCATGGCAGCGGGTGCTGTTAGTCAACATCGAGCACTTGTATTTTGTCAACTTAAGACGATGTTGGATATCATTGAAAATGATTTGTTCAAAAAGTTGATGCCAACAGTGAGCTACATGCGATTGGATGGTTCTGTGGACGCGAGTAAACGACACGACATTGTACAAAAGTTCAACGCGGATCCTTCGATCGACGTGTTGCTATTGACGACACACGTGGGTGGGTTGGGATTGAATCTGACAGGTGCCGATACCGTCATCTTTGTGGAACATGACTGGAATCCAATGAAGGACTTGCAAGCTATGGATCGAGCACATCGTCTTGGCCAGAAAAAGGTTGTCAACGTTTATCGTCTCATCACGCGTGGCACGCTCGAAGAAAAGATCATGGGTCTACAAAAATTCAAGCTCAACATTGCCAATACCATTGTCAATCAGCAAAACTCGGGTCTCCAGAGCATGGATACGGATCAAATTCTCGATTTATTCAGTGTTGCAGGTGATGAGAGCTCTTCCACCAACAAGAAGAAACGAAAGGAGGGTGCAGCAGCAGCAGCAAGTACAGCTGATGTTGGTGATGGCAAGGCCAAGGCAGTGATTGAAAATCTCGAGAATCTTTGGGAAGAAAAGGACTACGAGGAAGAATACAACATTGACAACTTCATTAGTGGTCTCAAGTAGAAAAGATATATATACTATTATACAGGAGGAATATTAAACAAGTAGTAAAAGAATGATGTATGGTGATGATGATGATGATGGTGATGGTGGTGGGACATTTGTGGTGCAAAAGGGGAAGGGAGCGTAGCACGATGCACGTGTTTGTGAACATTGTGATGCGATGATGTTACCGACACACCAAAGAAGTGCGGACTTTTTCATGAGCAGAGGCTGTGTTTCCCGTTAACACCTGCTGTTGCTGCTTATTCGATATCTCGTTTTCTTTTCTGTGTATCGCCATATTCTCTCTTTCTCTTTCCCTTTTTCTCTCATTCCCTTCTTTAAAATAATCCGCTACGCTCCTTTACCCGCTATATACTCGTACCCCGTCCTTCATTGCTCCCTCGTATTCTCTCTTTTTATTTATCACCCCTAACAACAACACGCGCCCGAAAAGGACATTGATCGTATTCTCAAGCTTATCATCATCTCTCCGCTACTCCATATTAAGGTATCTATTGAACTTTTACTACAACAACATCTCTTTTACTTGAAGTCACTTCCCCTTGGGCATATACCTATCTTGTACATCTATCTCCCTAAACATCCATTGAGTATAAAGAAAAAGCCACGAGTTGAAAAATCATCCGCTCGCACTCCGTTATTTTCCTCTTTCCCTTTCCATATACACAAAAACCTCATTGCCCGCCAGCATTCTCCTTGAGATCTTACTGTAATATCTAGTCATGACAGGAAATCAGTCGCATTCTTCTACGGCAGCCAATTCGTTCTCGTCTCATAATGTTGTCGGTGTCCATTACCGAGTCGGCAAAAAAATCGGTGAAGGCAGCTTTGGTATTATCTATGAAGGTGAGGAGAAATTGATTCCAAATGCGTTCTACATGTGTGTGTGTGTGTGTGTACACATACACATATGTACATCTGCATGTCAATGCATCAATTTGGCAGTAACACAAGCAGTTAAGGTACCAATCTATTGAATAACCAACCCGTGGCAATCAAGTTTGAACCAAGAAAGAGTGATGCTCCACAACTACGCGACGAATATCGGACGTACAAGATCATGGCTGGCTCGAGTAAGTGTGTGTTCTTTATTGAACGGCATTATACAAATATACATCCTTATTCACTTGTAATGGATACATAGCTGGTATACCCAATGCTTATTACTTTGGTCAGGAAGGACTCCATAACATTCTCGTCATTGATTTGCTGGGTCCCAGTCTTGAAGATATGTTTGATATTTGTGGTCGACGTTTCTCGGTCAAGACGGTTGCCATGCTTGCCAAACAAATGGTACGTATCATCTATCGATACACACATGCATATAGCTAACATTCAAAGGATAGTTGGACCGTGTGCAAACGATTCATGAAAAGAGCTTGATTTATCGAGACATTAAGCCTGACAACTTTTTGATCGGCAAACCCGGCACCAAAATGGCAAATCAGATCTTCATTGTTGATTTTGGCATGGCAAAACTCTATCGAGATCCCAAGACAAAGCAGCACATCCCTTATCGCGAACGCAAGAGTCTCTCTGGCACTGCACGATACATGAGCATTAATACCCATTTGGGTCGAGAACAGTCGCGACGTGATGATCTCGAAGCACTCGGCCACGTCTTCATGTACTTTTTGCGTGGGTCTCTTCCATGGCAAGGTCTCAAGGCAGCCACCAACAAGCAAAAATACGAGAAGATTGGCGAGAAAAAGCAAAGTACAGCCGTCAAGGATTTGTGTGAAAACTTTCCAGAGGAATTTGGCATCTATCTTCAATACGTTCGCAAGCTTGGTTTCGAGGAGACACCTGATTACGACTTTTTGCGTGAATTGTTCAGCAAAGTGATCAAGAATGCTGGTGAAGTCGAAGATGGTGTTTATGATTGGATGCTCTTGAACAATGGCAAAGGATGGGAAACCATGTCAAAACGTCAAGCCGCTCGTCAAGGTCTACCTGCACCAGCCAAAAAGGTCATTGCTGATAATCAACGTCAAATGGCATCAACAGATAATAGCAACCAAGCCGCCAATGCCAACAACACAGCAGCAGGGACTCAACCAGCAGCAGCAGCAGGACCAGGTGGTGCTGCTAATCATGCAGCTGATTATCACCACGTATCACAGACAATGCCAAAGAAGCAAAGTTTGCTGTCAAGATTGACATGTGGATTGTGCCACTAGAAAGAATGTTCTTTTATTATCGTCCACTGAGCATATAATTACCACGCCAACAACCCCATCGCCATTCAACGATCACCATCCAAATTCCCCCCAATGTTTTCTTTTTCTCGTTTCACGCAAGGCCCTCATCCCTGAAATGCAACACAATCATACGCAACACAATCATCACGCACAATCAATCTTAGTTTGAATATCACCTTACAATACGTACACGTTCACAATCAATCACAATCACACACGCACTTTCACACACACACACACAAAGCCTTTTAATTCCTACCATTTTTATTTCAACCACAATGATAAAATCAACCATGCACGCATTGTTGTGTGTTAGAAGAACCAATGGAACTTTTCATGAATCCCACTCGTGCTGTGATGATGTTTCTTTTACTACTCGAGCCTTTTCAATGAGATAACGACCTTCTTTGTACTTTTGAGACGTCTCAGCTGCTGTGAGGTATTTCCATCCAAGGTTGTTTCCGCACATCTTGCATGTAACATTAGCGACAATGTATCGCCCTGTTAAAAGGGTGCGGTTGTGATGGATACTGTGTGACACATTAACCACCTCCGATGCTAGATATGCCAATCCATGCTGTGTAATATACAACGTTGTTAATGAAAGGACATCTTTTCTTATTGCCATTGTTACAATTACCCTTCCTTGAAATGTACGAGATAAGATAGCTTGGTAGCTTGCTATATGAGAATGGCAATTACAACATAGGTAGATTGGGGTTTGGTTGTCAAGAAGGTATTCCAAATGATGTGCTGCAGGAGGAGGAAGAGGAGGAGCAAGTTTCAAGTTCAAATCAGGAAACCCCAATTGAGCATGGGCAAACATTGGGCAAAGTGGAGTAAAAAAAGGGAGGATTGGAAAAGAAGGTATACTGATATTAACCCATGTGAATGAATTGAGGATGTACATTGGGGATGGCTATTACTGTTGTTGTTGCCAAGAACACTTGGCTCGGACCGATTCTAGGCGTGTGTGGGAAACTGTGTGCATGGATCACAGATGATCGGGACTCTTTTACCGAGAGCCTAAATTCACCATGGTGTTCTCTCCAAAGCAATGGGCCCCCATCCATTCATTCCTCTTGGTTACCAATTGGGTGCATTCCTCTATCATGGAGCAAGTGACGTAATATGAGCTGAAACCTACACTGATGGGCTTTCTCCATTTAGCTGCTATGTGTTGTGCAGCTGCTCTCTTCCTTATTTCTCTCACCGCTGCTGTGTCTATGCAACTTTTACTCCTGCCACTTCTGGCTCCCCGCAGCCCATCGTTGCTTTTCGCCGATCCTCGTTTGATTCCCATGTCACCCACTGCATTTGATTCCGAACCAGTTGTCGATACGCCTATGCATATGCAGCAGCAGCAGCAGCAGCCCATTGCCTGTCTCAGCGATGGCGACGACGAGGGTTGCAAACTACTTGACGGCTTTGCCATTGTGGTGCAAGTGAGCTTGGCAACAACGGCCTTCTTGGTATTACTCTATAAACGCTGGCGAGAACGACCCCAACGACCTGTTCCCATATGGTAAAACTCTCTCTCTTCCTCTCTGTACAAATGACAATGACTTATAGATGGATTCGATTATTAGGGCACTCGATGTGAGCAAGCAATTCATAGGTGCTGGGGTCATCCATTTCCTTAATCTGGCAGTGAGTTACCTTGTGGGAAGACCCATGAATGGCCCCAAGACCAATTTATGCGTATGGTACTTTTTGAACGTGTTGGTGGATACAACGCTTGGCGTGGGCGTCCTCTGGTTCTGGTTGCATTCAATTCAATGGGTCCTTGAACGATACTTGCATGTCGATTACATTCGCAGTGGTCAATACGGCCAGCCACCTCTTCGTCGTCGTATATGGCCTTGGGCACGTCAAACGATTGTTTTTATCATTGCTGAAGGTCTCATGAAACTATGCGTATTTATCCTGTTTCGTTTGTGCCCCTTTTTGTTTGATATCGGCTCTTGGGCATTGGCTTGGACACGTGACAATTATCGATACCAGGTTCTTTTTGTCATGTTCGTGTAAGTAAAAATCAAGCATCAGAGGAATGGGTTGTTGTTGGAATGGAAACCAATGGCTGATCTATATTATATATACTCTGGTCGTTTATCAGATTCCCATGCATCATGAACGCAGTTCAATTTTGGATCGTGGATACCATTGTCAAAGTCAACCCGGCTCTAGGATACCATGATGTCAAGAGATCTTCGTCACCCCCATCAACGCCTACAACTCCTCGACATCCCGATGACGCCATTGCGGTTTCTATTAATGAGCAGGATGAGCGGACGCCTCTCCTTAGATGATATCTCTATTCTTTATTCCCAACAACATTTCCACCATACACGCCCAACACATACAGACATCCACTTTCCCAATCTGAGCATCCTAGAAGATATACCTGATCATTTACCACCCTATGTCCAATACACATCACCTTTTGCATTTGACTTTTTATGCATGCACACAGTGCTAATGGGATTCTTTTGGCTGCATTAATATCAATCGCTGTTTAATCATTCCCCGACAGCTATGATGAGACTTTTATAAAGAATGATGCTTCACCCACTTCTGTTTCCATGACTACCACCATGGGGACCATGGGCGATTTACATATATAAAAAAGCTACGCATTCTCACATTTTTAAGATGGCGAATGATGAGAAGAAAACTTATTAGTTCAAATGTGCTCGCCCTTGGGTGATCGATCCGACAGGTCAAATTACCCCAACAACAAACAAACAAAAGGCCATCCACGTACTTTTTGCATGAAAGCACACAATAAACAACCAAAGTAACCTTGCCTATATGCTTGTCGGTGCGTTTTCCTATTTAAGTCTTTTGATACCTATAATGGAAGGCTTGCTTTTAATGCCATGTATGATTGCTGCCATCCATTTTGTCGTGTGTTTGGAACTTTCATTGTTCTTGAGAAACAAGTAATAGGATCTGCAAGATCATTGTTACACATATTCGTTCTAGGAAGGAGTGTCATTGTTTCCCAATGGGATGTGTAACGCTATTTAAGATCAAAATGACGCTTTCTACTATAGTGATAGTCGGCATGATCACTAGCTGGTTAAGTACGATCGCATACACTCTCATTTGAATAGAACCAATATTTATTGGCGGCTCAAGTATATGTAGGCAGCTTAGTTGGAAGCGGCAGCTATGATGTGCAAGTGTAAACAAACCACTCTTCTGTAACTTGTTGCATACAAGCACTGGGACCAAGTGATTAGATAAACGCATATGAAACTTTTTCGGTTTCAGAAATGCGTAATCAACCATAACAAGACATCGAGCAGGGAACGAACTGGTAATATTATGAGGATGACGATCTCTTGTTGAATGCAGTCAACTCCCATTTATTATGTTCATATTGCTATAACCAAGTTTGATATGTATGTTCTATATGTATGTCTGTAGTATGCAAGATGAATAAGGGGATGTCGGCAAATGATGTAATGAGTTAGCAGATGATATTGCACAAAAGTGGCAACCTTGTGCCTTGTGTCCAAAAAGCTATTGCTATTTCAACTGATCGGAATCTCAAGCACCTTCTTCACCTGACAAACTTTGTTCGTCATGTCAAAGGATTTATAAAGCGCTCTTTTTTTCGCACACATTTACTGCATAATCGAATTTTGAATCATCGCTGGTTTCACTCTTTCTTTCCCTCCCCCAACCCAACCATGGATGATAGGCGTGCTGCATCACCATCACAACAACAACAGCAGCAGCAGCACTATGGAGCCATCGAGCAACAACAAGAACAACAACCAGAGAATTCAGATCAGCGTGTGCATATTTCTCGTGCCGACAGCAACGATGACGATGATAAAGCGACTATGGGAACATCCAACAGCGATCCAACAGCTTGCACAGCAGCAGCTTCGTCTTCGGCACAGCTCAGGTCACGCAAACACAAAGGACGACACCATGAAAGTGACAATGACGACGATGCAGCTTCCATTGACAGCAGAGAAATGACACTCAAGGATAGACAAGAGGTAAGAAGAGGAGGATGCGGTAATGGGAGTTGTACAACGATCTCATGACACTCAATGTTGTATAGCAAATGAACAAACGGCATCCTTTTGGGTTGCCCATTTGGAAGCCTGCACTGTATAAAAAGTCGCGATCGGTGGTACGCAAGGCGAATAGTGCTCTTCATTCATCGCCATCATCGTCTCCTGAGTTGTTTCTCAATCCAGGCAACATCTTATGGGTGCTTATCTTTGGCTGGTGGCTAGCTCTTGTCATGCTGATTCTCTCGGTGCCCTTGATTCTTGTACCACCCGACGGCGGTGCTTACTCCCGTGTCATGCGTGAACTCGCCATCTACCTTTTATGGCCATTTGGTCGCTACGTTGAACACCATGGTGATGAAGTAACGCCACATGATCCAACAGCTGCTGCTGCTGCTGCTGCATCTTCCGAAGATGACGAGGAAACAGGTCTTTTGGATCGACCCACCACACCGAGAAAACAAAGTCTGGCAATGTCAATCTTAAAGAGCGGACCTGCAGGATGGATGTACTACCTTGTTTATTTTACCATTGTTGGCAAGTGTCTCTCTCTTTTCGTATCTATCTCCTTGCTCTTCCTCCTCCTTACACTAATGCTTCCTTACATTAGCACCTCTCATGTTTGTCGTATCTGCAATATGCTGGTTTTGTGTCATCACCATTCCAATGGCCAAGCTCAACTATATTCTCTTGAGACATTTACGGCGGCATCCACTTAGCCTTCGATTCAAATCAAGTCCCTCTGGTCAAGCATACATGACACAAACAGGACGCCCTGCTGTTATTCTTCTTTGCACCTACCAAGCTATTGGATGGCAATATTACAAGTATACCTATGATGGCATCAACATCATCTTCATCAATCTCATGCCCTTGGTATTCTTTGTTATCTTTGATGATTACGTGCTCAAACACTACCTTCCCGAGGATGCTTTCATCACCAAACCGCCTGTCGTTTTCACGCTTGCTCTCGCATCTGTTATTCCACTTTCATACTATATTGGCATGGGCATTTCTTCCGTCTCGGCGCAATCAAGTATGGGTATTGGCGCCTTTCTCAATGCATCATTTGGCAGGTATGTCTACAAATGAAAGGAGGAGGAGAGGCTATCTTGGAGACATGATCTAACAAAGGAGTCTTTTTTTCTCAGTATCATTGAGATCATCTTGTATGCAGTAGCGCTTATGGGTGGCAAGAGTGCGTTGGTGGAAGGTGCATTGATTGGAAGTGTCATGGCAGGTGTCCTGTTGATGCCAGGATGTTCAATGATTAGCGGTGGTGTCAAACGTAAACAGCAAAGATTCAATGCAAAGAGTGCAGGTATGTACACACGTGTTGGGTGCAAAAGAAAGCTGTGATAACTCACTGGTATTCGGGATAAAGAGGTGACTTCAACAATGCTTATTATGGCCATCATCGGAAGCCTTACGCCAACTTTATTCTATCAAATGTTCGGATCGGTAAGCATCACAGCATCGTTTTTGTGGTATGTTGTAATTGACATCTTGTTCCTAGTTTGAGCTTCGGTGCAGTGGATGCCCTGAAAACGCCGACGATGGCAACATTGCGTGCTCCAGGTGCTATTTCGATCAAATGAATCCAACCATCGATCCTGTTTATCAAAACAAAGTGAAACCTCTTATGTGGTTTTGTGCAGCGATATTGCCATCCGTGAGTACATGATTTTTTTGGTTGTTCTTTACTTGGCATAGTACACTAACCAAGCGTCTATAGGCTTATGTGATTGGCATTGTCTTTAGCCTGCGAACGCACGTGGATATGGTATGGAAAAAACACGACCAGAACGGCAACGCACACAACGTACCGCATCAGCAGCTGTCCTATTATCAAAAATTGATGCCTGGTCATATCATTTCGCATCTTATCCATCAGCAGCAGTCAACACCACCCCCACAACATCCCGGCCAACACCATGACACATTGGAGCACCGAGTTGGTAGTGGTGAGTGTGATTTACCTTTTATATGACGATATCTTGCTTACGCTTTTTTTTTTGAAAGATGGCAATGTACATGTACCCTATGTTGCCATGACAACCAGTCACCCCGAACACCATGGCATCGATTCTCAATCAGGAAGAAGGGGCGAGAATTTAGTTGTGGGATCTGCACCCGTGCCTGCATCAGCATTTATCCATGCGAGAGAGCCAGAGGAAGAAGCTGAGGAAGAGGAAGCGGCTGGACATGATTCCCCCAATTGGAGCAAAGGCAAGAGTTTCACTATTCTTTTTGGATGCACCCTGCTCTACTCGATTGTTGCCGAGATCTTGGTGGATACTGTTGATGAGGTCATGAAAAACCTGGCAGTGGATGAAAAGTTCCTTGGTCTAACCTTGTTTGCCTTGGTGAGTTCTTACTATACCATTGTCATTTATCTTTACGATGTCTAATGCTTCACAATGCATAGGTTCCTAATATTACTGAATTCATGAACGCCATTTCATTCGCCCTCTATGGTAACATTGTTCTCAGGTAAAGCTATTGCGTTTTTTTTGTGCCATGACTTTTACATCAAGAGGCTGACAAGAAGGCTATCATTGTGTATTTAGTATGGAGATCGGATCAGCATATGCATTGCAAGTGTGTTTATTACAAATCCCAGCCATGGTTGCGTTTTCATTATGGTACAATTGGGGAAAGGAAGAACTTGCACAATATACATTTAGGTAATGGTTTGTGAGGCTTAAAAGTGCTTCTGACGCTAAGAGATCATGTTCATGTAGTCTTATCTTCCCTCGTTGGGATGTCATTTGTGTGATCTTTTCGGTGTTTTTGCTCACTTATACCTATCAAGAAGGCAAATCCAACTACTTTAAGGGATCCATTCTCACCCTGAGTTACATAGTTCTGCTGGCCGGCTTTTATTTCACTCCATCCACCGATCAAGATAGTATAGCCATCAACATTGCACCACCAGCCAACAACGTTTAAAATAGTCATATTCACCCTCTTCCCTTGACCCCCGCGTACGTAACAAGTTCCCAAACATCCATTGTGTTGTATTCATAATACTAGTAGTCGATCATGTATGTATGTATTGGGCATGGTGTGTTGGGAAGATACAAAGAGAGCATGAGGTTAAGCTGAAATCCAAATAGATCAACGTGCACCCCTTTCGCTTGCTATCCAATGCTGTTGGTTCCACCGCTTCCTCTTTGTACTCGACAATGAGCAACGACGATGAGCGATTTCGTATGCAACTCGAGAAGCACTTTGCTTTGTATCGACTCAACCTACGCCTTCCATTGGTGTCACGCATTCGCCTAAATTGTTGGTACCGGATCGATCTATTGTTGGTCAACGAACTTGGACTTTTTCGACGTGCTGACATGGAGCCCAATGGACGTGTACGTGTCACATGTGAAATGGATGGAGGTCAAGGCACCATTGAGATACGCGAGAATGGCAATGGATTTGCAGCGTCAGGCAAAGGAGTAGTCGAATATCGTGTGACCCATATTGACAACAGCAGCAAGGCAACGCCTATGTATTTGACACTCTCGGTGAGCAGCGTTGAAAATGTCACGGGATTTCAACACGTGATGCCTTTGACGGTGGGTCCAATCATTGTTGATGCCGATGCTCCCCTTCACGAACCAAGCGATGCACTTGTTGAGGAATGGCCAGCCAATACAGAAATGGTGCATGACACTTTTCGAATCCTAAGCGATGTATGGATCAACGAATCATGGGATGCTGGGATACCGGGCAAGATATGGGACTCTGCTATTGTCATGCTGGCTTTCTTGGAAGGTCTTTACAAAAAACAAGGGAAATTGGGCCATGTGATTGATCTCAGTGCTGGGTAAGAAGAAGAGATATGCAACAACGAGGAGGATCATTATATTGACAAGTCATGCGTAGAACTGGTTTACTTGGACTGTACCTTGCAAGAAACAAGGCTGCTGATAAAGTTACTATCACTGAACTCGATGAAGCTCTTCCTCTTATCGAGCACAATGTCAACTTGAATGATCAACAAGGGAATGTGGAGATCAAATCTTTACTTTGGGGTGATACGGCGCAGGCAGCCGCTGTTGGAAAAGCTCACGTGATTGTGGCATCGGATGTGCTATACGAATCTGAATTTTTCACCGACCTGGCAAAGACACTTGAGGATTTATCGACTCGTGATACGTGTATTTATATTGGATACAAGCGTCGTGGATTAGATCAAGATGAGGAGGATCGTTTCTGGTCATTATGTCGGGATCACAACCTCTCCATCACCCTTTTGAATACGAGCGACCCAACCATGTTGCCTGATATTGCCAAGATCACCAATGTACAAATCTATCGTTTAGCCCCTTTATATTCTCCCGCTGTATAAATACAACATCATCCATTAAACACTGTTCATCTCTTTCATACAATATCAAGCGTACGAAGATCATGTTTTATGTCAAAGGAAATGCATTCTTATCATCGTTATCGCAACCATCTCCTGAACAAGCGAATTGTAATGCAAGAGTTGAGCGACAACAGCAGGATTATAATAATGGTCATCACATTCTTGCTGTTGGTAAATCAGCTACATGGTTCCCGCTTTGTCTTTTTGCTGCAATTGTACTTTCAATGTTTACCAGTATCTATCCCACGTTGGTAATGTCGATCGTTTTCCGAGCTCAGGCTTCAGCTATTTCCCCGGACGGCAAACCACTACCACCACCCGTAGGCAACAACAGCAATGACAACGTCCCACTTATCATTGATTGTCCTCGTTTGCCACCAAGGGAAGGTGCAAAATCAGTCCAAGATCTTCGACCTGATGATATTCGTTTAGTAATGGGTATTGGCGATAGGTACGTGAGAGCAATCCAAAAAAAGGATTAGTTGTATGTGTATGCCAACAAGTCGATGATAGTGTCATGGCTGGTTTTGGAGCCAAAGGTATTGTCAACAATCGTTTCATCAGCTTGAATACTCTCAAGGAGAACCGTGGTGTGTCATTTGCTATGGGTGGTGTAAGTCTTTTCAAAACATTGTCCCTTTTCAACCTCTCATCAATGATACATAGGATCCAGGTGCTATGACGGTACCAAACTTGATCCAATACTACTCGCCTAATTTACTTGGCTCCTCTGTGGGCGATCACATGATTTCGATTTGTTTTGGAGACGAGATTTGTCCAAAGGGCCAATATCGAGAATCCATTGACAAGATGAATGCAGCTCAGTCTGGTGCACGTAGCCTAAATTTGGACCATGAAATTGATTACCTACTTGAAAGGCTTGACGAGTTGTATCATGATCAACAAATCCAACCCACGGATTGGAAATTGCTCACTTTCTTTATCGGCTCTAATGACATTTGCCATTCATGCACCACACCAACGTCACTACCTATCCCTTTCGCTATAAACGCCGCTGATGCAATCGATCGTATCCGCAAAAGCATTCGAAACGTCTTGGTTCAAGTAGGCAAGTAAGACGAGGGATCATCATCACCATGTACAATGTACTTATTCCATGATGTTGTAATAGTGGGTGTCATGCGTGTCGATGAAATCTTTATTGAAACACAAGCATATCCAGAATACTGCCAGCCATTTCCACGCAGTAGCTTTGTCATGCATGATCATGAATGCGAATGTGCTCACTCGGAGGCGAACAGGACCATCATGAGAACGTTGACACCACAATACAACACGGCTCTTGAATCGATCGTATCTCGATATCCGTCCAATGATACCTTTGCCGTAGTATTCCAGCCGTTGAAAATGGATGTCTCTAGCTTTCCAATTCAAGTCATTAGGTATGTTATCTTGATATCTTTTTATTATGACGAGGTAATCACCCTTTCATACATGTCCAGTGATGTCGATTGCTTTCACCCATCCGTAGTTGGGCATAGCTGGTTTGCAAAGGAACTATGGTAAGTAGTAGTAGTCTATATATCTGCTTTTGACTCGTAATAGCAGGCTGATTATTTGTAGGCAGATGATGTTTCTACCAAGCCAACAAAAGCAAATGACTCTCAAGTTTAATGAAAATGCACCAATTTATTGTCCAACCGAAGCTGATAGATTTCGAGTTGACTGATTATGTATGATACAATAAAGCAAGACGAATCATTTATTACCATGGAATGATATTCCTGAAAAGGAGGGGGTGATAAACCTGTAATGTGTGTGGGTATATCTACAATGATTTGTAGTAGTAAAGTATATCATGACTTGTTGGATCGACCAACGGAAGAGAACAAATGGCCAAGGTGGGGTCGTTTAGATCGTGAAGAATCAGCCGACTTCTGTGTAGAAGTGCCATGGTTCACGTATAATTCCAAGCTGTTGCTTTTTCGATGACACATCTTGGGAGAGCGTCTCTGCTGTGATCGGACATGGACACTACCATCATAAACACCTGAATCCATACGCCATACTTTGATGCATCCTGTATCATTGGCCGAGACGATAATGTGCCCATTGGGAAAGTTGTAATTCTCCCTTAGCGTATTCCAATCCTCAATATCCAGCTCCTCGTCATCTTCTTCATCCGATGATAAATCTTGTGCACGTCGAAAAAGATGATCACCACCCGAAAAGGATCTTCGCATCAACGTCATCTCTTCATGTGTATGGGCCTTCCAACGTCGACGTCGTAATTCTTCAAGGGCCGGATCCAAAGGCGTGTGGTTGTATATAATGTCGTGATTTGATTTAGCAAGCGCTTGTCGTGTACGTGCAGGTGCAAACACAGCAACGGTTGTGATGTGTTGATGGGCTTCAAAAAAGTCGCTCTGAATACGCAACTTGTCTTGGTGTGCTCCTCGACGTTCACCTCCACGTTTCAGCCATGATGTCATACGTGGTGAAGTTGACATTTGCTGAGTACTCGGAACAAGGTGTTCATCGTTTGTATCAAATCGACTCAATGCAACTTCGGTGCTTGGCCACAGGTGAAAAGGCGAGTAGGTGACAGGTTGAGTGACCCAAATGTAGACATTGCCATCCTCTGATCCACATACAATATTTTGACCATCGTCGCTATGGATTAAATAAATTAGTATACACATCCTATTGCAGCAGCAATGATATAGACACCCACCTAAAAGATGACCTGATTTGCATGGAAAGGTTGTGTGGTCCTTTGTACTTGTACATGAGACTCTTATCCTTCATGTTGTAGAGCCGTGCCTGAGAATCGTTGCTGGTGATCAAAATCCTCTCATCTCCTGGGAGCGTTCCTGGCATTGGTTCAATTCCAGTGATCTTCCTGCTTTTCTTGGAGGTGCGTTTGCCGAAACGAATGTTGATCTGCGTGTTGTATTTGAGCCCTTGTGTTTCATAAAAGAAGCATTGCCCATTGTGTGTTCCAGCACAAGCCGTCTTGCCGTCAAGCGTAAATGCCACAGAGGTGATCATGCTGCCATTTTGCATCTCGTTCCAAAAGGCCACCTTCTTCTCGGGGACATTCCATAATCGCAATCGACTGTCAAGAGAACCTGATAAGAAGAAGCGATCATCCTATAAAATAAATAAACCATTTAGATCCATTGCCTACTACTACTACTACTACTACTACTACTACTACTACTACTACAAGGCTGCTGCATGAAAAAAAAACTTGCCTTTGGATGAAAAGATACGGCTGTAACCACGTCCAAATGTGGAAATACCCCGAGACATTCCTCCCTAGTGACATGCCATAATCGTACGGTCTTGTCCATAGATGCTGAAACAATAAAGTTGTTCTATTTGCAATAACAAGTGTCATTGTTTCATCTCCAAGCGCGTATACACACACACTTGCCTTTGACCAGCTGATGTCCAACACGTCCGCCAAATGGCCACGATATTCTCGGTAATGCACATCCTCAAAGACATCAATGGAGTTCTCACCATCCTGAGCCGTTTCATCAAGGACACGCCAAACATACACGTTACAGAATTGACCAGCTGATGCGAGGTATTTGCCATCCTTGCTAAACTTCATTGTCCAAGTAGCACCGTAAGGATTGTTCTGATAGGCTTGAGCATCATGAGAAGGACGTCTTGCACGATCTGAAGAAGAAGGTGGTGGAGGTCTCGGGAGGGTAGTGAGTGTTTGCGCCAAGAAAAAAGGTGGCCAATCCTGATTTGCCTTGTGCTTTGACTTGACCTATGTATTGTGACATCAGCTATGATAAAGTAGGTTACACAGCCACACATGCATTTACCTTGACTGGTATACCCTTATGTGGTAATAGGCTGGTGCCATCACGTTGGTTGCTTGACATACTGGGATGTGGTACAGCAGGTACGGATCGGTTGGAGTCGATGCTAGTGCGTGCAGGTGTGGATGATGATAAAGAAGACGAGGTAACTGTTTGATCGGTGTCGTCGGCAATCACTTCACCTTCATCAGGATCGTCGATGGTTTCTTGATGGTGTTGATGACCTTCTTCTTCTTCCTCGTCTTCATGTTGCTGTTGTTGTTCTTCCACTGGCTTTTTGCTCTTGCGAAGGCCAATTCGTTCGAGAAATCCCTTTTTGGTATGGCTACTCAGCTTCTTATCGCTTAACCCCATATCGACGTCGAGTGAGTGCTACCGTTTAAGACAAGAAGAAAAGCAAAGGATGCTCGTTTTTGGATCTGTCTTTACCCGTGATGATGCTTTTTATCTTGCTCTGAAGATTCATCCGCTAAGCTTAACTTGCTCTTTCGGCTCCTCAATGAACGTGTATCTTGTGTGTCGCATAATGAGCCCGCTTGTTGCTCAGCATCTGTCGTCGTTGTTGGCCATGGTGACCCATTCAATGCAGGCACGGCCAATGTTGCTTGATCATTCATTGTTCCTTGTTGACATGCAGGCTCTAAATGAGTTGAAATAAATATACAATGACCCAATGGTTGCGAGTGACAACAATGAACCCACATTCTCTACCCCCCTCTCTCTCTCTCCATCCTCCTCCTCCTATCCATTGAACCATTTCCTTCTCTTCAATCACTCTTTTTTTATCTTTCTTCTTTGTTGTTGTTGTCAAAGTCATGCTCGCAAAGAGTTGGAAACATACATACGATATTCGGGTGAAGGATCGGTTGGATTGTCGAGACAAGGCTGTTGCTTCATCATGCTTTCAGGATGGTTGAATGAAGGTCTCCTCTCCGGAGCAGCTATCGTGTCGTGATTGGTAGAGATTGTAAAGGTGTTGCTGTGGGCATCGTGTACATCATCGGAGGAATCGCCCATGACTGAAAAGGGAGAAAGGGACAAGCAATAAAGAGGCAGCGGGAAAAATGCCGCACTATCCAATTCAGCTGGGATAAAGAATGAGAAGTCCAATTTCTATCACGGGTATCCATGGCGACCATGCATGAATGCTTCTCTCACAACGACCGATACCGAATTTATTAGCATGCCCATCATTGTATAAGATCCAAGGAATGATTGTCTGCAATTGACGATGATAGTAAAGCGATCATGTGCTGTTGGTCAAAGAACACCGCGTGCTGTGCAACCATTCTCACGTGATTTCAAGTCATTTCTCTTGTGCCTCCATACCTTGTCGCACCGTTATGCATTCATAGAGAATTCGTATAAGCATCATAGCATCATAGATAAACTTTAGAATAGCCATGGATGTTCCTTCCTTTTGAGATAACATGGACGCATACATAAAAGAAAGACACTGATGGATCCTTAAACATCACCTTCAAATCGTCTCCTATATGTATTATAACCATACATGGTCAAAGCTGGTATCAAGGATAGAATTTGAGTAGTAAAGTACTATATTTGCTTATATTTAAATTGGGTAGCGAGTCATTTATAACAAAGATGAAGCTATACGCTAGAATGTGTCCGGATGTCATCAACACCATCATCCTGCTGCAAGGGCCGAAAAACCGGTTAATATCGTGGTTTAGCCCACAACGTTGGATCCTTATTTGTACTCTATGTTCCCATAGCAGATTGTGCTTGCACGGTGATGTTCAAGATACTATACTGTAGAGAAAAAATCAAGGCCAACGATTAAACTTCATGTTGTCACTCCATAAGCTGCCACTATACCTGATAAGCAAACAAGAGATCCGATGTCTCCTTGAAGTCAACGAAATCTTTTGGACCCTTGGGTGACCTTAGTATGCCAACTTTCTTCCCAAATACACCTGACCATGCCTACAGGGCTAAGTTAGTTCTCATTGCTCTCATACTTTTCCTTCTTTCATCAACTCACCAACCCAGACCATGACTACATGATCGAAATTTTGGCTGAGTTTAGCACTTGTAGATGGCCGAGAATCGCGCCATTGGTACGTAAGTTCTTGTACTGTTGTTCAAGAGCCAAGCTGCTCAATTCAATATCCTTAGAACCGGATTTGATGAGCAAGTCGACCTTTCGTCCAGGCAAAGTCCCCGTGGTATTCTCTCCGTAGACGATCTCATTGTATTGCCGCACCGATTGGGTGCAGCCACTGGTATGTTCCCCGCTATTCGAAAGAAATCAAAGGAAAAGTCAATAGCCAATACTCTGTTGCCAGCTTCTTTTATGATTACTTACTCAACAAGCTTGATTGGAGCCCACCGAAAGATTTGCTTATCAAGGCAATGCGACGGGTGGTAGGTGTGGCAATAACTGTTGTGGTAGCTGCATGTGTGTCAATAGGACAATCACCACCTTGGGAGTTGGGGGTAATTTCTCTTCTGCCGCACCATCATGTCAAGTGCACCATGACAATTTCAGCACCCGACGTAGACCATGGCACCGAAACCAACTTTTGCAGATGCTTCACGGAGAGATAGCTATATCGAAAGTAACAAGGTGGCATGTATGAGTGGCGACTCATCAAGCAACATGACCAGGCTTTACCTCATTACACGAATACAATATCGCAATACAACGACAATGAGAGTAGGATAAAAATAAAGCACTATGAAAGGCCACAAATATCAGTGTTTGTTCACAAAGTCTGCAAGAAATGGGATACGTACAAAACCTTGGAAACTTGACCTTGTAAGCAATCGAAAATAACGGAGGGAAGAGATGTGGGGAAGTATGATGGGCGTCGACAACATCCTTTTTATTGTGTATTGTGGGCGTGAGTATTGTTGTCTGTTGGGGATGATGCATTGATAAATTGATGCATGAGCTGATAAAGTGGTGAACGTGAAACTTGCACACATAGTGCTGTTGGCCAAGCCGAGCACATTGCTCTGTTAAAGAACCCACGTTTGATTGTAAAGTTTGGAGATACAGGCACCTTTATGTTTTACTTGTGCTGTAAGCGTGATGGAGTTGCTTTTTCCTAGTGGATGGTGTCGGCTGCATTAACGGAAAGATGAAGAGCTGAGTGAAACGGCACGTGGTGGTGTAACAGACACATCCTTGACAGGTTGCTACACAAATGAATGATGACGATGATTGCCTTTTGTGAAGGTACGTAAGTAAACAGCATCCAATAATGAAGGTGTGTCAAGGTATGCATCACATTTGCATGGAGAAGAAAGTCGAGCTGCATAAACCAAATTGTATATGTAAAAAGATACATATACATACTGAATGAGTCACTCATCCTGAAACTCAATGGAGAGATTCCTTCACTTTTTTTCTTCTCAAGCTCATCTCACTTCCCACTCCTCCTTATTGTATCACAAAAGCCATGTACTTCTTGCATGACCGATAACCGGGCCACCTTTATTATTCCGTCTTCGAAGCAATAGTATGTAATCCACAAGCTAGCAACCTCCAACAAGCGTGTAATAATTAAACAATGCTTTATTTCATCTAGCTATCTTGCTATGTACTGTACATTGCCACCACCATTGTCGTAGTCGTCCTCCGTCATCATTCCTACTCGTACTCGTCACCAGTCGTCAATCTCATCCGTCACACCAAGCATCCAAAAATACACAAGTTGAAAAGAATGGGATCTTGCAGGCTTCTTTTTGAATCTCGTTGTCGTCATCATTGTCATTGTTGTAGATGGGGTGATCGTCGTAATCGTCATTGTTGTGAATGTGGTAATCATCGTAATTGTCGTCTCTATAAATAAGAAAGCAAGCAAGTTAGACCATATGATGCCAGGAATGATGACGATTTGGTGTACCGCTAGGCGATCCTCTCCAAGGAAGAAAGCAAATCAGAAGGAATTCACAAACCAAATCACCACCATACGAGCAACGTCGGTCGATCCCTTGTTCTTGAGAAGGCACTGCACGAATCACGCAAGGCCAGTTCGATCCATGGCAAGGAAGGACATCACTTACGTAGAGTCCAGGCTCATCATTGTCCTCATTCATCCTCTCCAAAGAAAGAATGATCCCCAATACTTCCAATCATTTCCCACCTCATGAAAAGAAATCCTCAAGGGAAAGAACGAGCCTATCACGACAAGAGCGTGTTGGTTAAACACATTCACAAGCTGTTGCAAATCCCCTTTTACCTCAACACGGTAACCATCATGCTCTTCCAACAACCCATTGTCATCTACCCATCAACTCAAACGCAGGCCTATAGAGCCCTGGACGCGTTCCAAGAAGCTTTTCCAGCAGACTTGGCTAGTGCAGAGCGACGCAGCGACCACTTGATACAGGCTGGGATTTGAACCCAAAGAGATGATGATGATGCCCCAAGTTGCATTGCCTGACCAAAGAAACCTATTCAATTCATTATTAGCACACACGCACAATAAACGTCCTTTTCATTGTTTGTTTCATTGTACTTGCCTTTTCCATATGCACAAAGACCCGTTGTTGTTGGTTACTGGAAACCGAAAACCATGGTGTAGTGTAGTTGAGCCGAAACTGAACGCCAAATCAGCCAACGTCTTGAAACCAAAGTTGCCCCCTATATAAGCTAACACGTCAATGGAACCAGTTTGGCTGCAACATTGGACTCTGAATGTACCTGTTGACACCAAGCGTAGACCGGGAATAGTAACGAACAAAAGGAAGCAACGATATCGCCATGGCAACAAGCAACCACCCACCACACTCCATTCCTCGGCATTTGGACACACTCACTCCCTGACAATGCAGGTTCAGAACTATACTAATGCCTCACAAACAACAAGATCACTCTTTGATAACACATTACCTTGATCGGGATGTCGTGAATGGAATAAAAGCAGAGGAGTGAGAAAGAGAAGAGAAGCGTTGTCTCAAGTCGTGGAGCTACCGTCCCCAAGTTTAAATCCCCCTACTGCTATTACACTGAGGCCACTCAATGACCCCACACACACACCATCCACCCATCGTCATCATCACCCTCACAATAGACAATGGGTACACGTAAATAAAAGAAATGATCCTCACGTATAGCAAAAGAGTGTGTATGTGTCATTTTACACTTTACATGATAATGATGATCCAACAACACCCATTGCCTTACTACCAGGTTAGCTCAAATCAAGGAAGTTAAATGCTGGGCATGCTGGGCTAGAGCAGGACAATCGATCGTATGCATTGGATTGGACAACAAAGGCGAATGGGAGGAATGGGCTATTAGCTGGCAGGTTACAAATAACTTACCAATTTAATCTTTCTCATAATTGATGATACTTCTGTGTTTGAGCGTTGCTCAGTCAAATCCCCTCGGATCAAGAAAGTTGAATGATGGAAATGATGGGCTGGAGCAGGACAATCGTTCACGTGCATTGGATTGGGCAACAGAGGTGAATGGGAGGACTAGGTTATCAGCTGGCATTTTGAACCATCCTAAATAGTGTACAAGAATCATGCATCGCCTGTGCTGATGACTCAAGTTACACAAACACGCCCTCTGCATCTTTGGCTCTATTGTCGTCATACTACTTGACAATGAGAGATGGCTCTTCCCGCCAAAAGTCAGAAACAACAGGGGCACAAGCCACCCCCAGACAAACCTCGCTCTTATTCCTCCCTTTTCAATGAACCAGAGGTAGCTCGACTGTATGAACGAACCCCGGCCAACACGAGAACCGTATGGCGTCGCGCAGAACACCCCAGCTCACTATTTTACGACTTATCCCAAGTCAAAGTAACAGACGCACAATTTCGCACGGCTCTCAGTGAGTCCCCACTCAAAGAAGTCATCCATGGTGCTGTCATCCATCGCACCCGTAAACATGTCATTGCCGAAGTTGCCTTCAACGATGCCAAAGTACGTGGTCACTACATGCATCTACCAGTAACGCTTGCCGATGAAACAAAAGTTTTTGGTACACTTCCAATCCCCGAAGACTGGGATGTTATCAGGATCAACCTCTCGAACATACCGCTATATAACCGACTCCATTTGACAGAAGCTCTCATTGCCGCTTTGAAACCTTTTGGACAAATACTAGAACTTGGCTTATATCTTGAACAGCATCTTTTCACAGGAAAAGGCTATGTGTACCTCAATGTCAATCCCGACTCCAATGACTACAAACATTATTCAAGTGTACCACCACTACAGCCAACTCATACAATATCAGTCTCCCGTAAAGACGGATCCTATCCCGCCCGCATATATGCAACATGGTCCAAAATGCCACTTCATTGCCGTTATTGCCATAATCCAGGACACACACGTATTCAATGCTCATACCGACCTCAGCCAAGATGTTATCACTGTCAAGAAATCGGACACCTCCGTAAAGACTGCACAATTCGCCATGGACCTCAACCAACAACCGACAAAACTGCAAGCCCCGATTATACAACACAAGAAACGCCGATTAAAAGAAAACGAGTACCAACATCACCATCACCTTCGCCTACACCATTCAGCTTCACCCCGCCAATTAAAAACGACACCTCTCAACCCCGCCTAAAAGACAAGCCTCATGATCCACATACTGACATTGCTATTGACCCTGACATCCCGCACCGCAATCTCGACAATATGGACACATCCGCTACCCCAACCTCACGTGACCCGCCCACCGATGATATGGTGACCTAGTCTTTTGGGTTCTTGTAACCCATCTTTGCCTTGTCTTCCCTTCTCTCTCTTGTTTGGTCTTCGTGACCTACCCTTAGATCTTTATACTTTGTCTCCCCTCACTACTGGTTTTAAGACCCAACTTGTTAGCATTTATTTTGGGGTATGATATCCCCTCAATAAACAACCATTACAATACAAAAAAAAAATACTACTTGACAATGAGAGGGTCTTCCCGCTAAATTTCACTTTTTCGGATTCGGACCAATCACATTTCACTCAACCCTACACCAACACCCTTACCATGGCAACAGGTCAACTTCCTCCCCCAGGACGCAGGTCTTGGGCCAATGTTGTCCGCAATAAAAGCATCACTCTCTTTGAAGAGCAAGGTTATGAAGAGGCTCGACGTGCGCGTCAGGCAGAAACAATCCTCACTAGAGCTTTGAATCCTAATGCCGTAATCTTCGACTTTGGCACCAACCTCCCATCTAAGGCTATCGCCTATCAGACGATCAAACAACTAGGCACTATCCTCGGAGCAAGAACCATCTCACGTTCACGCAACCCACGTTCATTGTTAATTGAGACACGTTTCGAAGACGATAACGCAAGAGACAAAGCTTTAACGGATGGTGTCACCTATGATGGCGTCACTTATCGTGCTACACGTGCATTGTCAGCTGATGCAGAAATTACCAAGGTCAACTTTTCTCACCTACCATTTCTTGCACAAGATGTCATCGAGCAAGTATTGAAAAACGCCATGAGTGCCTATGGTCGTGTCTGCCAAATCCGCCTATACGTTGAACCTGAATCTGAAACCTTCGAAGGAGAGGCTACCGTCATTTTGGACACATCCACACCTTCGGGTGCCATGTTGTCGGATGATAAGCCCTACTATAGACCACTCACCCGCCTTATCCCCATTGAGGTTTGGGATGATGTGTTCCCTGCCTCATGGAAAAACGCACCTCCTCTTTGCCGTTATTGCAACACTCAAGGTCATCGCAAGATGGAATGCCCCAAACTTCAAGAACTCACTTGCTTCCACTGCCACCAAAAAGGCCATTTTCGTCGACATTGTCCTGTTGTATACCGTGAACGCCAAGCTGCCATGGTGGATTCATTGACCGATTCTCAGCTTCTTGACACGTACCCAACCACAGCGTCAGCTGTAGATGATGATCATGATTCGGAGATGACTACTACAGCACCTTCATCCATCATCGATGATAATAGATCCAATTCAACCAATGATCAGCATACTGATACAGCTTCTCAACCCGATGTTGAAGATCAACATAAGAAGAGCACCAATGTCACCAAAGACTCTAGCAATCCAACTACCGACAACGCCGACAATCGAATGATCATTGACACCACACCTCAACATGACAACGACCATAGAATGAATGACAACAACGACCCTATTATCGACCACGATCAGCATCAGCACACGCCAACACCTAAGAAACCAAAACTTGATACAGCATCCAGCACACGTGTCACACGCAACATGAGCCAACAACGTTTACAACAATCCGCTGGGGAATCACCTGACCCACAGCATCACCAATAATATGATAAATAATAATACAGCACGACTCGCCTCTTTGAATGTTCGCTCGCTATTCAAAGAGGCACAATCTCAATTTGTTCGACACCTACGATCACAGCATCTCAACATTGATTTACTCGCTCTACAGGAAGTATCCCAAACGCATGCTCCAACACTTACTAACCAAGACATCTCTCACTTACACCGCCTTTTTCCCAATTCCTCTTCTTGCTTCACTAAACATTGTGCCCTTATTTGCCTCAACCCCTCCTTCACACTTTCCAATACCTATGTGACACTTGACCAACGTTGTATTGTATCCACCATTTGTATGTCACATGGGGCTTTGTGTCGTATTGTGGTCCTTTATGCATTCGCTGAAAGGGATCGACGACCAGAGTTTTTCTCCTCCCTCCTTGATTTACCCTGTTTTACAGATCTTTCCGAACCGTGCTTTGTCATAGGCGATTTCAACACCCATCTTCACACCAAGTTGCATTCAAGACTCAGACCATGGGGCCAATTTCTGTTGGAGCATTTTCACAATTGCATGTATCCAGAGATCAATGGTATGCTTTCTCCTCCTACAGCAGCACCTACATACCATCGGGGCAATCTCCATACCACTGTGGACTACGTCTTTTGCACCCATCACCTCCACTCCATGATTTCTAATGCTCAGCAATGGCACATGTCACGTGCTTGGACTGACCATGAGATGCTGACAGTGGATTTTCGAATACACAGCATGGACACCGGCCCTGGCTGTTGGCGTTTTAACCCACTGCTGTTGGGCCAACCTCCATTTGATCTATTGTTACAGGATACAGTGAAGGAGTACTTTACACACTTGGATGATGAGCTCATTGAAATGGATCCACAAGCATGCTGGGACAACCTCAAAGCGGTTTTAAAGGAAACAGCTATTGATTATAGCTTCCGCCACCGCCATACCACCAAACAACACTTTCGTACTTTACAACGTCGTCGACATGTTATCATACAACAACATGGTACTCGAGACCCACGACTGCCACCTCTTGAAAAAGAAATTGCCAACATTCAAGAACGTGTTACGAAACAATTGTTGTTACGAACAGCAACCCGATGGCACGAGGAAGGGGAACGAAACAACAAGTACTTTTTCAAAGTGTTGAAACAACGACAGGCCGCCACCACCATCCACCATCTCCGTGACCCACACACTGGTGAACTTTTCACCACCATGGGTGGGATAATGCAACATGCTCGTCACTATTACAAGGATCTTTATACCCCTACCGAGATTGACCAGGCCGCTGTTGATAAGATGTTATCTTCTATTCCTTCTTCAGTGCAAGTGACAGAAACACAAGGAGACAATCTCATGCGACCATTTTCTTGGGACGAGCTTGTTCGAGTCATTGAACACGCACCTTTGGGTAAAAGCCCTGGGATGGATGGTTTACCTTTTGAATTACTCAAACACATGCAAACGTGGGAACCGGTGATCCAGCTGCTACTCTTAGTGATGAATCAAGCACTTCTTCACAACTTGTATCCTCGTTCGTGGTTGTCAACTCGCATGGTTTTGTTGTTTAAGAAAGGAGACCCACGTCTTTTGGCCAACTGGCGCCCATTGTCATTGATTAATTCGGATGCGAAACTATTTACCAAATTGTTGGCGAACCGGTTACAACCCATCATGCATCGCTTAATCAACCCTTTTCAGACTGGCTTTTTGGCCAAACGACTTATCTCAGACAATGGTTGGGTGGTACAAAACCTCATGCATCATGTTCGGCGTTTCTCTCCATCATCTCCATCAGTGGGTGTGTTACTTGACCAAGAAAAAGCTTATGACAGAGTACATTCGGATTATCTTCGGCAGGTAATGACAAGGTTTGGATTCCCTACTCAATTCATTGATTCCCTCCTCCACCTCTTCTTCTCCACCTCTATCTCCCTATCCATTAATGGATGGCTATCTTCTCCCGTGTCTCAACTTCGTGGATTACGTCAAGGTGATCCTATCTCTCCCCTTCTATTTAACCTTGCCTTTGAACCCCTTATCCGCACCCTTATGTCCGACCCCTTATTATTAGGATCACCTTTGACTAATCCAAGCATGACCAAATGGAATCACCGTATCCATTTTCGTACTAACTTGTATACACCACACATTCCACCAATCAAAGTATTGGCGTATGCTGATGACTTGTTGGTATTCCTTCGTACACCCACCGAATGGCAATATCTATTACAACATCTTACGACATACAAATTGGCGTCCAATGGCAAAGTTAACCTCAACAAGACCGTGGTTTTCCCACTTTCAGGTGAACCTAATCCCTCATGGCAACACATGTTACACACGATTAATGCCCAATGGCATGATCGTACTTCTCCAACGGCTTTGACATACCTGGGATACCCCCTCTATCACCATGATCAACATTTGGATAGCTTTTTGAGCAGCCTTTACACCAAGCTTGAGACTCACGTACACCTACTACAACAACGTACGCTCTCAATTCTTGGGAAAGCTACGGTGGCTAACTCCCTGCTTTTATCTCGGCTGTGGCATGTACTACGGGTTTGTGTCGTCCCTAAACCATGGATTCAGAAGTGTCAAACACTGATTCGTAAGTATGTGTGCAATTTTTTTCCATATCCGAGTTGGTCAACTTGTTGTTTACCACGCTCACAAGGTGGTT